TATACTGACAATACACTGAACGACCTGTTGATGTCTTGTGTGTTGTTAGGTACGAAGCAAATCGTTGATACTCATTAGTATAGGCCAGACCGGACAGGGTTCCTTGCAAGACGATGTACGCCTGAGCTCAGGTAGGATTGATCACCCTCCCAAGCAAGAAGGTAAACATATGAGCATAGCGCGCGGCGAGTCGGATTGGTTCATGTATGTGAGTGTATGCCTTTAAGTAAATGGCGATAGGACTTATGGGAGTGGAATTGAGTTCCGGGGGGAGATGCACGGACCTCGTGATTGGAAATTCCAGTTCGAGTCTGTCATTTTCTTATAGATGTGTGTTCTTTCGCATTTTCGAGGACGGAAATATTTTAAGGAGGATAGATTGTAGCGCCTCGTTCGATTTATATAATTTCTCAGATTATTCTATTTATCGAATATTATTGATAAGGTTATATTTATTTTGTTGGTCGCGATGTCGACTTAAATAAAAGGTTGGAGTACTCGATCGTTTTATTGAAAAACATTCGTCGTTCGGCGATTTCGGTTTAATCGCGTGAACCGAATATAATCCGTTTGAGTAATGCATTTTTCGAATATTTCGGCAATTATTAATAATGTTATTTTATTTATTTTTCTTAGCGTTATATAAGTTCGAATTTTATGAAATTGAGCCTGATAAACCGGTAGTCGAAACTGGCCGATTCGTAAACCGGTTGTTTACGAATTATTTTGGGATTATTATTATTATTATTATTAGTAATATTATTAAATGAATGTCTAAATGTAATATTTGTCTAATTGCATATTAGTATTATTTAAATAAATTAATGTGTGTAATATGTATTGTATATAAATATTATCTCAATTTTATTTAAATTGTCGAGCGAGCGAACCGAGATATTTCCGGGCTAGGCGAGCCCGTAAAATAGCAAGACCGAGCCGCGCATGAACCGGCCCGAAGGAAACCGCGCTCCCCGGCCCAACGAACTAATTTCTCCCTTTCCGACTTGGTTTCCCTTTGTGCGTGTGTTTTATTTTCTTGCTCTCCAAGACTTATTAAACCTAGTTTAATTAAGCTCTCTCTCTCGCTCAAAAACTCAGCACACGCATCACGCAGTTTTCTCCAAATCTACTCTCTTTTACTTCTCTCGTCAAAACCTGATCTCACGCAGATAAGAGAAAATCTCCCCGTCATCTCTTTCATCAGATAAACCACCCTCGCTCTCTCCCTTACGTCGCCGCCCGCAGAAGCTTTCCCCCCACGCGCAGCGCCGCCGTGAACCCTCCTGCGCGACCAACAGCAAGTCGGCGAGCCTCTGCAACCCCGATCGCTTCCTGCTCGCGAATCCTCGACGTGAACCAGCAACCGCGACGACCCTCCTCTGGCGACCCCCTGTTCACGCACAGCAACCTCCGCAACTCCTCCTCGGCGTGAGAAGCTCCTCAGCTACGACTCGCTATGAGCCAACAACAACTCCGTTGCGACCCCAGTCACGCAGCAATGCCTCCGCCGCGACCCCAGTCACGCGACGACGCCTCCGCCGTCGCCCAGACACACTGCTACTCCTCCTCCACGATACGAAGCGCAGTCGTTGAGCCCATTGCCGCCGCCGCGAGCCCTCTTCGACGTGTCGTTCGTTTCTTTTGACCCGTTTTCTTGCGTTTTCCCGAGAACAGTACTGAGGCTTTAACCGTAGCCCTTTAGATATATATATGATGTGTGCTCCCCTAGTGCTTTATATACTGCGAGTGTTCACACTAGGGGCGGTACCGTAATTAACTAACTCTTCAAGTGTGAACGGGCGGTACCGTAATTAACCAACTCTTCAAGTGTGAACGCAACAAACCAAGTAATTACGGTACCGCCCCTAGTGTGAACACTCGTTGTTTACATATTATATGATCAATGTTGATATTGATATGGAAGTGTGAGCCTTGTTTTTAAGTTAATTATGTATCGATCTCTTTGGTTCGTGCGAAACCGAACGAGATCACGTTAAACACGTGTTAAGTTGCTGTGGGATTGGAACACAATGAATTCTTTTCCTTATGGTGAAGGCCTCAAACAATTTCGAGTCTTTTCGAGTCACATGAATTTATGAACTCGTTTAGTCGCTGATTTGGTATTAAATTCTTAATAAATTGCATACTGATCCGTTTGATGAGAAACTTTGTGTATAAGTTCCTGTGATGAATACGTATGTCGTGTAAAAATTTCAGATTAAAATTCCAACTGTAGCTATTTTAATTAATTATTTTGATTTCTGGGCAGAATAGTGTAAAATACATATGAAATTGATTTGTACTCTAAATGGGATGAAACTTGAGTATGTTTTCTCTCTGACATATTTACATGTTGTGTACAATTCGTAGAATTTTTGAACTTCGTTTGCCAAGGTAGATAATTCATTTTAGTATTTTGTTGAACCTTGTTTCAATTATGATAATTTGATCCGTTGCTGTAAATTGCTGATTTTTGGTTCAAGTGCTTATTTAAAGATGTTTTGTGTGTGGAATAATGCCCAGGATTTTTGAAGTTCATATTGGTTCAAATTTTTTTAAAATTCGAAATCTGCAGAATCTTGTTACAATTTTCATACTTCGCATGTTAAGTTTTTAAAGCTGAAATTTTTTTATGTTGGTATTCACATGCGGAGGGTTCTTTTATAAAAATTTCAAAGATTAAATTATTCCTTATGTCAGTCTTTGAATTTGTGCTCGTTTTTGCTGAAAATTGGTTGGAATTTTATAAAATCATGTATTTTGAGTTAGGGGCTGAAATTTGGTGGATTTATTAAATCCAGTGAGTTGGATTTTAGGTTAAAATTTCAGAGCCTAATTCATTCGGCAACCTGACCAACCTGACTATATGATTTATTGACTAGTATTTCAAAAATATAGTTTTTGTGTTTAAAACTGTAAACCGACTCGCATGATGTTCTTTGTTTGTTTGACTTGGTTGTTTGGTTGAGTATAAGTTCCGAGTCTAAGTGCTCCAATGTTCACAGGACTTCACGAATAACTTAGTCGAATCTAGTTTGACTAAGTCCCAATTGTGTTTTCTGTTTAAGTCAAGGTAGATGTTGATTATAGAATATTGACTTAATGTAGGTGTATGAGAAGTCAAGCCTCAACCTACGTACCTTCTATTTTTGCTCTTATCAATCCGGAATCCAGGTGGGTTAGTTATTCTAAAAAGTCTATGTATATGTGCGTTTAAATGTGTTTGAAAATTTGGTATGATCTATGTATGCATGTGATCATGTAGCCTACCGATGTGAGCTTGATGGCCATCGGTACGGTTTTCCCCGTCGATGTAATACGGTTGCTCTTACGAGGCAAGTCTCTTTAAGACCTAATGAAAGGTCGTGTCCTTGCGTGGCACGCACTCTCACCCGTTAGGGTAATGAATCCCCTTTCTGCGACTAATGAAAGATGTGTACACATGAGTGAGCAATTGATGTGGCAAGAGTCATTGATGTGACTAGAGATGAGACATGATGTTATTATTGTTTATGTTCATGCTGCGACCATACCATTATTATGTTGTTCATATGCATAGTGTGAGTACAACCAACTGTACTCACTCCCACCTGCTCTTCACGGATGCAGGTTAAGCAGTTAGCGGATGAGAGGCAAGGCGAGTGGGTGGTCTGGTTTATTTTACTTATGATTATTAATTGCTTCCGCTTTTATGAACTTATGTTGGTTTATCCGAACATGTTGGTTGGTTGACTTTGAAAACGTGTTGAATTGATTATTCTGAAAACGTGTTGGAATGGTTTATATTGAATAACCTTTCTTTGATACATGAGTATTTGGTTATGAATATCATGTTGTTTATGTTTATTGTTTATGCTATTGAGATTATGGTTAATGAAAACCTTTGAAAAACTGGGTAATGAATCCCCGTTAGTTCAGACATGACATGAACTATGTTTTGAATTGAATGAGTAACGCCGAAATGTTTATGAATCAAAAAATGAATTTTAATAATTTTACCTCGATTTTTGGAAAAGTCATGGATTTTCTATAAAATCAAAGTGGGGCGTTACAACTAACCTTCCAACTAGGTTAGTTCTCTGTAGTTGCTAAGTTAGTTCTCTGTATTTGCTAGGCTAGTTTTCTGTAGTTGCTAGGTTAGTTGTCTGTAGTTGCTAATTTAGTTCTCTGTAGTTGCTAGATTAGTAGTTGCTAGGTTAGTTCTCTCTAGTTGCTAGGTTAGTTCTCTGTAGTTGCTAGATTAGTAGTTGCTAGGTTAGTTCTCTGTAGCTGCTAGGTTAGTTCTCTATAGTTGCTAGGTTAGTTCTCTGTAGTTGCTAAGTTAGTTCTTTGTAGTTACTAGGTTAGTTCTCTGTAGTTGCTAGGTTACTAGTTGCTAGGTTAATTCTCTGTAGTTGCTAGGTTAATTTTCTGTAGTTGCTAGGTTAGTTCTCTGTAGTTGCTAAGTTAGTTCTCTGTAGTTACTAAGTTAGTAGTTGTTAGGTTAGTTCTCTGTAGTTGCTAGGTTAGTTCTCCGTCGTTGCTAGGTTAGTTGTCTGTAGTTGCTAAGAGTTGTCCGCATTTTAAGAGCTGGACGCATAATAAGAGCCGGCCGCATTTGGTCTGCCCATATATATATATACATGATCAAAATTTGAAATTTTCATCATCCATTTCACCCCTATTTACCAGAATCTACTCATAATATATAACATTAGTGAAATCGGGTATATACATTTGTCATTACAATTACATATGTGACATGTATTAATTTTAAAAATACTATATAAATGATAAAATATTTATAATATTGAAAGAGAAATGCAATTAACTTTAAATCAAGAAACGCATTCCACCAAATCAATATTTTTTTTAAAAAAAGGAAGATATATATCAAATAAAAAGGTGTTGGGGTGGCAAATCCCCTACAAAGCCTATGTTCGGGGGGGCAAATCCCCTACAAAGCCCAAATCACATAAGTCAATAATGGGGTGGCTAATCCCCTACAAAGCACAGTCGACTCAAGAGAAGAAAGCTAAGACCTCCAGCTCGGGGGCCCTAACAGGATGAGAAGAAGGAGAAGAATCCAACGGAGAAGGTGCAGCCAGGCCAGCTAATGTGGGAGATGGAATCTCTCGCTGGCTAAAAAACTGGGCGTCAGCCATGTAGTCTGCTGTCGTCATAAGGACGTCTGATGCTGGGATACTCTAAATCCATCCTGATGATACCCCTAAGGGGTCTAGGTAAGTCCGCGACGTCATAAAGCACAAAGTATCGGGCTCGGTAGGCGGAGCCTGCGAGGTAGTCGGTGGCACTGCTCCCCTCACAGTATGTATGGGAGAAGCTAACGTCAAGGGTGTCCGTAAGAGCTTTGATCTTCTGGATGAAGTCTCTTTCCCGCCAGTCATCTCCGGGAGTCGGGACGGCCAGAAGGGATATAACAGCCTCAGAGTCAAGCTCTAACCAGATGCGGTCAACTGTCAAATCGCGGCATAGAGTTAAGGCTCTCCAAACGGCATGAAGCTCTGCGAAGGCATTGGTCTGAACTCCAAGATACTCGTGAAAAGCAAAAATGGGTCTGCCTGTATGATCTCTGGCAATGCCACCTGCTCCGGACTCTCCAAGGTTACCCTTTGAGGCGCCGTCTGTATTGATCTTTAGGGTGCCAACGGGTGGGGTGGTCCATTTGATAACCTGCATATGGGGGCGTTTCTGGCGACGAGAGGGCCGAAAAGAGGGGGAGAGAAGGTGACTTAAGAGAGGGGCTCGGGAACAGGAGGACGCCTCCAGAAGCGAGAAATTGGTGAGGAGTTGGAGGTGTTTCCAAACTCGATCGCAGACCTGTTGAGCAGTAAAGGTGATCTGTTTAACTCTCTTATCATTACGAGAGCACCAGAGGTACCATAGAATAAGAATAGGAATGAGGTGGAATAGATGGGACTTGCCAGTCCCCCAAATCAATATTTGTCTGATTTTCAATTAATGAAAATTCTTACTGAATATTGACATATAAACTAACATAAAAACAACATGTACAATTCAAATGTGTGCATATTTATATATTTATCAACAAGTATATTTACATATCCTCAAACAACATTGGGTAACATGCACAATAGTATAGGTCAAATGTGTGTAATATTGGTAAGGACAATTCATGATTTTGTAATTTATTTCACTCCCCCATGTGATGAGAGCTGTGATTGAGAGAGACATATTGGAGCCAGCTTTGGTGGACCACTGCACCCATTTCATCGTTTATCTCTTTTTCTTTTCAAGATAAAAGTTGTACACAAAGAAGTCTTTGCATAACATTCTTTGTATGCAATAAATAAAATGTCAAAACCATTCTATATACCATCATTTCACTGAATCTATAGTATTTGTATGCAATAAATGTCAAAACCATTCTATACCATCATTTCACTGAATCTATAGTATATATATACACGTATGTTGTAGTAAAATATGTGACAATAAATATTTAATCTGGTTAAAAAAATATAAAGAAAAACAAAACTCTCAATAGTTGTTTTAGGCAAATGTGTATTATTCCTGATTTCATCCTGACAAATTCCTTAAAAAATTTCAGAAGCTAATAGTCATAAGTAATACGCATAATAAAATTTAAAAATTACCTTAGTCACCAAAAGGACAGTACATATATTCTATGGAAGAGGAAGTCAACTATGTTAACTGCCAGTCCGCCATATTATAACTAGACTTAGAATATAATAACAAAAAATAAAATAAATAGCATCGGGATGCTGTAAAAATATTGAGTATAAATAGTAAGAAATTGTTTTCAGAGAATAAAAATATTGTTCGAACCTCTTATTTCATTAATCCNATCATTATCTAACATGGATGCCAACCCACCACACACACACACACTGCTCACTCTATTTAATTTATTAACAACATTTATTTATCACATACATTTTTTTCACTCCTTCAAATTCAACCACCTCAAACGACCCTTATAAATATCCCCGACACAACAAATTAATGCATATCTTAAATGCTTCAAAAGAAAGAAAAACAAGAACAAGAAAAAAAGAAATAGTTATGAGGCCTTCCCATGGCACTCTTACTCCCATCCTCCTCCTCCTCCTCATAGCCCTCACAGCCCACGCGGGCAGGCCCAATAACGGGGCCCGCCAATTCATGGGCCTTCAGAACGCGGCCCGCACAGCACTGGGCCTGCGGCCCTTCGTGTGGGATCGCAAGCTGGCACGGTACGCCAAGTCGTACGCGAACCGGAGGCGCAGGGACTGCGCATTGGAGCACTCGGGCGGGCCCTACGGAGAAAACATATTCTGGGGCAGCGGGCGCGGGTGGGGCCCGGCCCAGGCGGCGGCGGCCTGGGTGGCCGAGCGGCGAGAGTACAACTATTGGGCAAACTCGTGCGCGGACGGCCGGGAATGCGGGCACTACACTCAAATAGTGTGGAGGGACACGAAGAGGATTGGGTGCGCCAAAGTGGTTTGCGACGATGACAAGGGAGTTTTCATGACTTGCAACTATGACCCACCGGGGAATTACATTGGGGAGAGGCCTTATTGAGATTCTATTAATCAATTTGGTGGAAATTTTGTAATATTTTAAGAGGAAATATTAAGTAAAATAAATATACTTTGTGTTATTTGTTGCTATTTTTACTTTGTTGTAGGGGTAATAGGACTATAGGAGCACCGCTTCAAATTGAGCTTTATTGTATGTGTATAGCGAGTGTGGTGACAATATTTATAATAATAGAATTTGATCATCTTGTGTGTGTGGCAATTGGCATGTGGCCGGGTTTTCTCTTGCTATAGATCTGACTGATTGTAATGCGCGATTTTTTTTATTTTTATTTATTTATTTATTTATTTTCTGTAAACGGTAGAAGTGTTTGTAATGTATTGTCCACTACAAGAAATCGGTGGCTTACTAACTAAAATTTGCAAACTGAATTTTAATGGTTAGAGCATCTCTAATTGTTGGAGTGGATTGTTGTGTATGTGACAATTGAATAGACAGTTTTCTGTCCACGCAGATTGAATAAAATGACATGTTGATAAGTAACTCTCTAGTGGTAGATGTCTATACACTGTAAATATTTATATACGTGTTTAGTTACCATCCACAACCCAATTGATATTCATCAGGTTTTTTATATTAGGTATATTTATTTTTTTAAAGACAACTGATATGTATTTTTTTTATTCATCTGTTATTTTTTGAATCAGATATTTTTCTAACAACTGATATTTATTTTTTGTATTCATCAGTTATTATTTTTCATTCTTTTGTATTCATCTGGTATTTTTTTTTTTATCAAATTCATCTGGTATATTTTTTTTTATCAGGTATTTTTGTGTTCTTTACGTAATAATAGATTTTAATTAAAAACAAAAGAAGTAAAAAGGAGGAAAAAAAATGAGTCATCCATTCTGGAAGGACTTTTAGATGTAGACAAACTTCTACCGTTTTTTATTCTCTCTCATGCCACATCATGACAAGAAGAAATTAAAAAGTCACTGTTGGAGGAGGGATTTTGTCCCAAATTCATCTACAATTCTGCAATTAACATAACATTGGAGATGCTCTTATGGTAGTAATAATAACTATTATTCGACCTGTGCATTTGTACAAATATAAATAAAGTATTGTGACTTATTTGTAAGAATATAAGATTAATGATTTTTCTTGTACTTTTTTGCATGCCAAATTTACAATCAAATGATTTTTCTTGTACTTTTTTGCATGTCAAATTTACGATTAAAGGAGCGGGAATATTTATTTTTTGAAATTGCGTTTATCATATTGGATGTAATGTATATTTTGGTATGTACTTTTTTGTGAATTATTTATTATTTATTTAGGAATTTCAAATACGTTTTTTTATTTTCCAAGTGAAGTTAATTTAAATGTAACCACAACAATAACATCTAATCACGTTTACACATTATATGGTCAGCTGTAAGTAAATCAAAAGTTTAAAATAATTTTTGTAAGTTCGAAGTGATTAGTGTGTTGATTATCTAATAATTAAATGAGAGGTTAAATAAATAAAAAGTAACGGTTTTTGGAGGGAAAAAGTTATATTGCCACATATGTATAATTTAATAGGTTTTATTAAATGTTCATGAGCTAGCAATTATATATATATAGATTTAGATACGACATATATTTTCGGAAACAGAATGTACTTTAAACAATAGTATGTGTATTAGTAACTATTCTGGTGACAAAGGGACCGTATATGGTCAGGTACCCTTCGTACCTACCTAACATCAGGTACCCACTTATATCACCATTAGATTGACTCAAAAATAAACATCAACCATTAGATTCATGATATAAATGACCCCTTTTCATTAGCCAAAAATCTTTCCTCCCAAAAGGGGCGAAAATTGCACTGTAGAAAACCCTTCTCTTCGTCCCTGCATATCTCGCCTTCGTGAGTGTGGTGCCTCCCTTCCGGCGCGGCTGACAGTCGCGGCTCCTTCCCTCTCTTGGGAGGTCCTGGCCAGACCCGCTTATCTAAGTATGGTCGGTTTTCCCTTTTATGTTCGGGGATACTTCGACCGTCTGGTGGTGTCTGGCACCGGCGCTCTTGCCGGTGGCTAGTGCGTAGGTAGTGACTATGGTGCTACCTGGACTCTCGATTTCTAGGGCGGGAATTGGGGTCCGGTTGGCAGATGTAGCCCTCGGGCTTCGTCCGTCGGGTCTTGTTGTGGGAGAGGTTGTTGTTCGATTCACCAAGGGCGGATTGGGAGTTGGAGATTGAGCTTCGGTTCTCTTCATCTGGTTGGTGCTCGGTACCTGGGGCCAGGTGCAGTGTCATTGTGAGCAACGAGGGGATGCGGTTGTACCCTCCCGCCTGGATTTCCTTAGTTAACAGATGACCATGGCGGATTGGGGGCCGTCGGGTTGCCGGGCTGCTTAGGGCAGCGGATTTTAATGGCCAGCTACGGTGAGTCGTTGATTTTCTTGGACCTGTGCTTTGGGTTCCCATTCCCCTGGTTTTTTGCTCTTGTGTTGGATGTATGGGGGCTGCTGGCGGGGGTTGCATTGATCTGTGGTTGGGTGGCCGTTGCCGGTTAGTTTGAGGGGTCTTCTGTATCGTTTATGTGGTGGTCTTTTGGGAGGCTTTGGATCCTTTTGGTCAGGATCTAGTTAGGCATTAGGCAGTTTCTAGATCTGAGTTTGGACCGAGGGTCTGTCCTTTCCAGAAGGGTTACCTGGGTGCCGGATCAATCAATTTGCTTGGGAGAAGAGCCTCTTCTGATGGGAGGGCTTTTGTTTAGTTGTAGTTTAGATTTATGTGTTGTGTTATTGTTGTTTTGTGTGTTTAGTGCTTTTATGTTGATAGCTTTTGTGCCTTTCTGTTTGTAAGTGTTGTTTGTTTCTCCTACTGGGAGTTGGTTTATTCTCCAGTTGGGAGCTTTTGTCGCTATACTGTTGTGTTTTTTCCTCTAGTGGGTTGCGTTTAGGTTGGTTCTAGGCAGCCTCAGGCTATCGGCCTATGGGGTTTGTCCTCCCAACTAGATTCAGCTGTGTAGCTAGCTTATTCGGCTATTTAGCTGTTCTCTAGTTTGTATGTAACATCCCGCTTATCTGAGTAAATTTTTTTCAACTTTTATTTCGAAAATACTTATAAATTTTTCGAAATCTTTTGCACTTAACTCGGGACGCTACTAAAACTTATCTTTCTGAAAATCTGTTTATCTTTAACTTTGTCTAACTACTGGCTTATACATAAAGAAAACAATTTAATCAACTCGCATGTAAAGTGGACCATATTCATACTGTAAGTCTGAAAATACGTAACATGCAAGTTCGAATCTTGAAATGCGTAGCGGAAATCTGAAAAGCGTGACATAACATTATACGGAATGTATAAATAAATGTCCACATAAAATAGCAACTGTTTGCATCCAGGACCACCACCACCACTGCTCAGCTCTCACCTCTGCACCGACCTTATTAGCTGAAAAATATAGTAGGGGTGAGTATTGGTCCTTTTGTACCCCAAAATCACTCATACTAATGTAAACAGCAAATATAATATAAATCATGATCGTCGGTATATATCTGGACTGGAAATCTGTTCTAGCAACTGAAACTGAATCTGTAATCTGACCGATATCTGATCGGGTACGTGTGCACACTCTGATGGATATTTCTAAGGCAACTGAGGGCCTCCATCAGAACTTAGGATGTACTGTTAAGGCAACTGGAAGCCTTCATCCCAAGCGTATAAATTGTATACATACCTCGGACATGATATCATATTGTAGTCAATGTAATACACAGTGATGGGTCTACTCTCAGACCTGGAGTGAACCGGTGGTAAAGAGCTCATATCTGTTTAATCGCCTTCGAACCGTTGCTAGACCGCGAGAATACCTGCAAAAACTCAACGCCGGAGGTGTTTCCGGCGTAGAGCCTCCGATGCTCAAGTCAGTATGAGAGTGATGAAGAGAGGCTGCGCAGCAGCTATGAGGAGAATGTGGAATGAATGAGAGTTAGGGTTTAGGGTTACCTCATATCCTTTATGTAGGAGTGAATACTTACTTGAAGTACCTGAAATGCCCAAGTCGGTGGACCTAAAAGCTCTAAATTGCCCCGGCCGATTCGTCTCCCCTCCTTGCTGAGTCATCTCAAGATTCATTCTTATCCATTGAAGGACAAGAGGTTCCAAGAAACATACCAAGTGTATGAAATCGTCGGAATGCCTCGCGTCTCGAGATACAAGGAGTCGACATTGAGTATGAACGAGTCGACCCAGGATCTTCTGATTATTCGGAGGCTACGCTCTTGTTGGTTTTCTCAGATAGATGTCGACTTTCAGGAAGTCGACTGATCGACTTCTGGGAGTCGACTTGTATGGCATCTGCCATTTCTCGTCATCGATTTTGTTAGGAGTTGACCTGGAGGAAGTTAACTTGAACATGTCGACAGGTGCATGTCGACATGTCGAACGGAGCCACTATCCGGTCGAGTAGAGAGCCTTTGGGCCGGTATATCTTTATATGGCTATATCATCTAGTCCCCAAAGAATTATCCTAAGCAGTCGACTGCTTAAGAGTAAATTTAGTGATGTGTGGTTGTGTCGTCTTCCTGCAATACTTGCTCGTACCTGCCTCTTCGATAACTCGTCTCGTCAGTTGATTGAGTAACACCTCAACCTCTTATGATTGCTTTTTCTGATAAGTCTGACGTTCTGACACACTTTTTGAATTTCAAATTTTGAAATTCCTGAAGTGATGCGCGTCACCTCAACCGCCGACTCCTCGAATTCCGAGCTTCATCAAGACCCTTAGATCTTTTTCTAATCTAACGGTCAACATCCAACACTACCGCTTATAAATACGCCTCAATCCCTCAGAGAAGCACTTTTCGCATTCTCGGACTTCTTGCTCTCTCAGATTCCTCAAGCTTTCCGGCGCTTTTTCGTGTTTCGGCTTCACCGGCGCTCTTTGTTTCCGGCGACTTTAAGCTCTTTCGGAGTTCCAATCAACTAAACCATCATGTGTAAGTTTACTATTTTCTCTTACCTCTCAATTTTATGTCGG